TAAGTCAATCTAAAATTAAACTAAATTGAATAGAATTTTAGATTAATCAGAAGTTTGTATTTAATTAAACTTTAAATAACATAGTAATTTAGATTATTTACAAATCAATCAATCAATCAAATAATAAAAAGTTAGGTAAAAAAATAATAATAATTAATTATTATTATTTTATTATGAGAAGAATTATTTATCAAAAAAAAATTTTTAAATAAATATAAATTTTATTAGAAATTAATTTTTCTTTCTTTCAATTTCAACAAAAATACTTTATTAAATTTTATTTAATGAATAAATTTAATCACAAATTTTTTTTTAGTTTAATAACTTCTGAGTTATTCTATTAATAATTTTGCATACAAATTTATCTGCAATTTTAAAAAATTAACTGTTATTAAAATTAGTTTCTGCAAAATTAATACTATAATACAAACCTTTTATATATTTGAATATTATCATCATAAATTTCCAGTATTGTAATATATTAAAAACTAGTATAAAATAACACTTTTAATTATTAAAAGTATAATTTTATAGAAAAATCAATAAATAACATCTTTTATCATTAGAAAGAATTTAAGAAAAAATATAAAAAATTTTATTATTATTATTAATTTTTTTTTTATAAACTGATAAAATTTGATTTAATTATAAATTTATAATAATATATAGCCATTTGGATGCTGATAAATTCTTACTTTTTTATGATTAATAAAATTGCAGGCAAATTTGTCTACAAAATCATTGAAGGATAAAAGTAAAATTTTAAAAATTATTTAAAAGTAAATTTTTTCAAAAAAATGTTCTAAAAGTATTTTATAAAGAAAAATTAACTTATAATATTTTTTTTTTAAAAAAATACTATTAAAATACTTAAAAAACAATTTTAGAGATATTTTTTAAAGAAAATGTATTATTTTTAAAGAAAATATTTTGGAATTGTATTCTTTAAAAATATATTCTAATATTAATAATATTAATAGTATTTTTCATTAAAAAATTAATACTAAAGTTATATTTCTTTAAAATAAATACTTTGATATCATATTTCTTCAAAGAAAATACTATTAAAATCATTTTTTTAAAGAAAAAAACTTATAGAGTTAGTTTATTTTAAAGTCAGATAAATTAGCTTATGCTATAACCTGCTTATAATACAGATTGGTTTATTAGATTATGTGCTTTTTTTAATGACGAACTAATCCTAAACGAAGTAGCTTATTTGATTTGTAAACAGTTTGATTTATATAAAACTTTAATGTCAATGCTATACTAAATTATATACATAAATAGTTATTTAAATAAAATAATTTTTAATATTTACATAAAATCAAGTAATATGATCGGTAGTAATTTGGATGCCAAGAACGAAATTCTGCCTTTGAAATGTAATTTTGTTCGCAATGTATCTAAAAACCTTTCATTACTACCTTAAGATTTGAATGATCCTTTCGATAATTGGTTTTATCCGTGAGTCCTAGTGAGAGGATTTCATTTCGCAATGAGATAATTAGATCCATTTTTTTAGAGGCGTATTCTTCATGCACATCCTTTCCTTCTCGATCCTAGTCTAGGTCTTTGGTTAATATCACAATAAATCCAAATTATACCAATATTTATTCATATGTTATATATGGTGAGGAAATAAAAAATTATCGTTATGATGTCCAAAATAATTACATATGTAACATGTGGCTATGTAGGATCCTGTTGAAACGAACCAGTTATGATCAATTGATAATCTTACACCTTCCGATGTAAAATATGGTGGTTGTAATTGTGTTGTTGGCGGTGGTGATGGTAATGATGGTGATAGTAGTGATGGTAGTATCAAATTTTTAATCTATATCGGTATATCGAATATCGGTATATTGAGGTCAGACTTTAGTGTTTGCTACCTTCTACCACACAAATCTCGTAAGAATTTGAATTTGTGGTGTATGCAATTCCATCGGCTCGATCAGCATTTCCGCTTTGACGTGTAATCAACTTTCTGTAAGAAGATGCTTCAATAGCTCTATTGCCACTAAAAGATTAAATAAATCCCTATAAGCAATTAAATCACTCCAGTTGTCCAGTTTTGAGCCTCAACTTTTTTTCAAGATAACAGTCAAAACTCGTGAACCAAATATTATTTTGCTATGCATGTCGACTGACAAATTATTCAACAGCGAACCTTTGGCGCTACTCGAAATAATGATGCCTTCATAAATTTCTTCCCAGGGTGAGATTATGTTTTCATTCTTCAAGATTACTTAGTCAAAGCCTATGCATCAAATAATAATGTAAAAGATGACTTTAAAGAGTTGTTTTTGAAAGTTTGAAAAAAAGACACGACGTTTACATATTTTTATATATTTATACGACATAACTATTTGCCATCTGTTTCGATTGACAAATTATTTAAGAGCAAGCCTTGGGCGTTACTTGATATAATGATGTCTTCATGATTTTTGCCCAGGTGGAATTATGCTTTCATTCTTCACGATAGCAGTCAAAAACTGTGCATCAAATAATAACTTGCCATCTATGTCGATTGACAAATTATTTAAGAGGCATCACTCGATATAATGATGTTGCTGGATTTATAAGAAAATATCGTTATATCCATATTTATGGTGGGAAATAAAATATTATCGTCATATCGAATATTGGCAGACTTTAGTGTTCCAACTTTCCAGTTTTGAGCCTCGACCTTTTTTTAAAGTATTCGTTTACATTCACGTCTTCGTCAGTATCTTTGCGGACTCAGAAGCAACGCATAGCTCCTTAAAAAAATCACTATGTTTCTTTCAGATGAGAATGATTTTATGCTAGAGATCTTTTTCTGGTAATATAGTATATTTTCGTAGTAAGGCATTTACTTTTGGACAACTTATAGGAAATTTAGGACGTGTATTATTTTTTTGGTCTGGAAAAAAAATGTTTTCGTTTCGCGTGTTTTATAAGGATAGCCAACAGTTTTGAGTTATGCAATTGCATGTGATAAATTGACCAGCATTATGCTGTAGGTCACTGATTTTTACGTCATGAAATCTGAGACAGTAGTGACGAATAACAAATTCTTATACCACATGAGTGAGATGGAAAATTTGTAGGCACTGCGCCAGACTTTGAATCAAAATCGACATAACTTCTCACGTTCTTTGGGTCGGTCGTTTGATTAATATATTGATAATGAAATCATTGTTTTTTTTTTTTGTTTTGGTTTTTACTCGCACAAGCTCTAAGAATCGATTTGTGGAATAAACATTTGGGGAAACTTAGTTATCTCATTTTATCCAAATAAATGCATCGCGTTTTAACTATCACCGTTTTAAAGTAAATCCGATGAAATTAACGTTTTATGACAAACTGATCAACGAAAGAATTTTCTTCATTTCGGAAATTCATCATGTAAATGAATGCTATATCGCAAAAAAAAAGGGAAAAGCATGAAATCATAACTTATACGTAATACTGAATTCGTTAACGCCAAGCAGCTGGTTTTTAATTTAGACGTGATTACCAAACGGTTTTTATGGAACAAAATGATTTCAAAGTTACTGTACCTGTATTTCTAAATAAATGGGAGATTTATTGAAGATTTGCTAGCTTTTGCAGAAACATCAATAACAATTCGCACCTACTGGATTTTCCAAATATTTATTTAGTTTTGCAATGATCTTTGTCGCTCGATAGCATTCTCTCCGTAGCATGTCTTAATTTTGGATTTTTCATCATTCTCAGCCAGGAGCTTAACATTCCTCTTTGTCTCAACAAATTGGTAATAACTTTTATATAATCCGCTAATTTATTTAAATTTTTAACAATACACTGCGTGACTTTAGATCACGTACTCATACAAATTTGCCAAAAATATTGATTCATATATATATAAAGCTCGGAATGTGAGTAAATTTTATTCATTATATTGGGTACTTATACAATAATAATCGCGGAATTGCATGAGGTAAAACTGTATCAAGATGCCAAGAATCGAATACTTTATTGATGGATATGATCGCATCATGAGAATCTAGGTCGTTATTTGGGAGAAAGTTCAAAAAATAACTACACATCACTACATATTAGGCCTTGACTATCCCTTAAGTCATCCCTTAAGTTGAACAAATTGGTATTCATATCACTTCTTATTAAATACATAATTTACAAAATAAAAATAATAAACATACTAACCATTTGATAGGCATCCGAGTCACCCTAGGTTTATCCGCCAAAATGTTTCGATAAAGTTTATCGAATATAACTTTATCCGGCGGATTCTCTCTCAATTCTTCTTCGATGTACTCATTATTAACATAATACCCTACACGAACGAATTCTTGATCTCTGTAAGAACACGTAATAATGATTACAGTGACATCCAAGAGATCGCTAGGGGGTATACGATCAGGGTTAGGTGCCGGCGCCTGTAAATTCATTATTAAGTTTCCTTGACAATTAAAACCCTTTGTTAAAGTAAAATATATTGTGTTCAATACCTGAAATATGAATTGATTCACACCAGGAGGTACAGGTCCAACCATAATGCTGTCAAGAACCTGATCATATTCTTTACTTTCCGAGGATCCTACGTAAATTATTTTCCATTCCAAATCTAATAGGAGAAAAAAGAAAAAAAAAAAAAAACAAGTTAATATCAAGTACTTTTTTTAAAAGTAATATACAAACTATTTAACGTATTTAAAATTATCAATAATATTCTTATATGTGTGAAACGCGTATAAATGACGCTTCCCTAACGTCAATTCGTGAGCAAAAGCTTAAACATGCTCTTCAAACAAAAAAAATGTAAGTTTTATCAGACTATAAAAGAGATCGTTGCTGAATTTCTACACTATTACTTTTAATTAACTAAAATCAAACAACTTTATGTAAATGAAAGCACATACCGTCTACAAGTTCGGAAATACACTCAAAGGTAATTTCAAACTGGTAGTCCGCTGTGAACAAAGTAGGGTTATTGATAACTTTAATGTTTATAATGTTGACAACGCTCATTTTTACTTAAAATAGTTAATTGGTACGAATTCTTTCTAATAAACTATAGGAGAAACGCGAATGAGAAATAAACAAGACATATTTCTTTTAAGTGGTGCACGTGATTAAATTCGTGACAATATTTATGCAACTTTTTTTCTGTACTAGGGTAATTTTTTATTGTGTAATAAAAATAATCGGATCTTTTTTTAGAATGTTGAACGAACCATCCAGAATATCGTAGCAGATCATGGCAAATTTAAGTTCCGATTTGTTTTGAAATATTCAAACTTCAACTTGTGCTTTATAAATTTTTCTTTCAATTTGGGTACAAACGCGAGATGTTTTTTTTAATTATTTTAAATTATCTTTAGCCCTGAGATCACATGCTATTGGAACGCGTTTATCATGTGATAAATAATCTGGATTTGTATTGACTTTCATTATTTTTTGGTTGTTATTAATCTCTTGTTTATAATTTTGTATGGCTTTGATGAAGTATTCAATTTCTCAAATTTATAGCAACTGAGAATCCAAGACGCTGGTTTGCCCGTTCATGTACCAGCATTTAATTGACGATGCAAATGAATTCGTGGTAAGCAATTCACTCTGTAACCATAATGATGTACTTTAATGTTTCGATTCCTTAATTTTCTTCATTTAAGTTCATTATCTTATCGAAACCAATCAATTTGCTTCAAGTATTTCTAGATTTTGTTTATTGTTCAACAAGAAAGGTTGACTTCTGGATGAGTATTCGAGTCCAAACATTTCTTTTTCTCGTAAATCCTCTAATTATTCTAACTTGGGGTATTTTCACTTAATTTATCGGAAGGGTGGTCTAACATACGGAAAGTTATTAGATAATTTCATGATCTTTAAATTTGATATTTTATTAAATTAGATTATCAGATGACCTATAATTAATAAAAAAAAAATTATGATAAACCAAGTTGATCCTTAATCATTTTTTCCAATTTTCTCGGATCGGCTCCAATAACGTCAGCATCTTTGATAGTTTTGCCATCTTTGAAAAAGCGAAAAGTTGGCAACGATTTAATTTCTTGTTCATGCATTAATTTCTATTATTGAAATATAAATAAACATTTTTTAAATTAATTTTTTTAAAAAATTAAAATTTCAAAAACCAATAAAAAAAAGAGATTTGTATACTTCATGTTCATCTGTATTGACTTTTAGAAAGATAACTTCTGGGTAAGTCTTTGAGAGTTCATCAAATTTGGGGGTAATCATTCTACATGGACCGCACCAATCTGCCCAAAAATCAACGATAACCTTTGTACATTTCATTAAAAAAGACCAAATTTATTAAAGTTATCGTAATAGAATGAATTAAATTTAAAATTTTATTCATTTAACATACTAATTTTCCATTACTGATGAATTTATCGAACTGTTCTTGACTGTCGACTATGATAGGCATATTTGAACGTTTTGTTCAAATGGGAAAGAAAAATTTTTTGAAAGAAAAAAATTCGAATACATACTACAAATATTTATGTCACATTAAATGTAAAAATGTAATTTTTTGTAATAATCACCTGATCAATTGCCGTTTAGAGAAATTTTTACCGGCGCTAAAGCAAGATATTTTATTTGGCTAGTCCACTTTTGAAACCTTAATTCAATTTTTTTTTTTTTTTTTTTTTGATCCAAAGGTTCCAAGTTTTCGAATATATGTAGTCAATTATTATAATGAATTCCTCTCGGATTTTATCCTATACAACTAGGGAACTATTATCATCGCGAGTATCTTACTCTATTATCTACTCTTCACGCAATGCTTATAAAATTCCACCTACTTTTCAGCGAACTCTCACAACTACTTCAATTAAAGCCCCGACACCTACTTATAAATTAAGGAATTTCCTTATTGGAACAACTAGTGTCTTTGCCTCGATTTTCTTTATAGAATATTATTTTGATTCTAGAGCAGCAATTCACAGATATCTTTTTACGCCCTTGTTGAGAAATGTAACTGCTCCAGAATCAAGTCATAAATTTGCCATATGGATTTCCAAATGGGGCTTAAATGCTAAAGATAGATTACCTGACGATGAAAGGCTTTCTGTTGAGGTAAACCAGAATTTTATACATTTTCATACCGTTTTTTCATTATTAACTTTATGATTTGTGTAAAAGCATAATCGCGAGTTTTTTTAATTCGATAATTATTTTGGTTAGTATTTTAAAATCTTTATTTGTGAAAATTTCATTAAATTTTTTGATTAGGTATGGGGTAAAAAGATATCTAATCCGATATGTTTAGCAGCAGGATTTGATAAACATGGGGAAGCCATTGATGGTTTGTTTGACCTTGGATTTGGATATGTTGAAATAGGAAGTGTAACTCCCGAACCTCAGGTATCATTCGTTTCATAAATCATTTCTCATCTATTTCTAAAAAAAAAAAAATTAATTTGTCTCCGATAACTTGTCAATAATGTTCAAAGCCTGGAAATCCAAAACCACGAATTTTCCGTCTTCTCGAAGACAAGGCCGTGATAAATCGTTATGGTTTCAATTCTGATGGTCACAACCAGGTGGAATTAAGACTACGTGATCGCGTAAGACGTTACCTTTATCATTCAGCGAAACTTCATCCTAGGACGACTGCGGCATTGCTTGCCTCATCACCAGATGGTGTGTCATTGTCTGATGCGTTGGGAACAAATAGAAGTTTAAAAGAGGGAAAATTGCTGGGAATTAATTTAGGAAAAAACAAATGGAAGGACGCTGAAGATATTCAGGATTATGTTAAAGGAGTAAAGACCCTTGGAAGTTATGCCGATGTACTGGTGATAAATGTCAGTAGTCCCAATACCCCTGGATTAAGAGGATTACAAAGGAAAGGGATCTTTGAGAAATTGTTAAAAGAGGCAAGTACGGCAGAAAACTCATGAACTCGTCATTTCTGTTTTTGCTTTACTGAACTTTCTTTTTAGGTCACGGATGCACGTAATTCGTTACATGAACCGCGTCCGGCTATATTGGTTAAAATTGCACCTGATCTTTCCGATGAAGAATTAGAAGACATTGCAGATGCAGCTTTGAATATTGGCGTGGATGGCGTTATTGTGTCCAATACGACCATATCAAGACCAGACATATTACAAAGTGGTTTGTATAAAAAAAAAAAAAAATTTTTTTAAATCCTTTTTGATTTGAAATTACATTCTCTTTTTTTTTTTTTTTTTAAAAAAAAAAAAAGATCCTTCTTTAATATCTGAAACCGGAGGCTTATCGGGACCACCAGTTAAACCATTATCGTTAAAAGCATTACGTAAAATATACCAACATACAAATGGAAAACTTTTATTGATTGGTTGTGGGGGAATTTCAAATGCTCAAGATGCAATTGAATATGCAAGAGCAGGTGCAACTTTAGTACAATTATACACCAGTTTTGTGTATGATGGTGTTGGTAAAGCAAGAGAACTTAAAGATGGTATCCTTGGGGAATTAAAAGATAAAAGATGGTCTGATATTATTGGTGAGCAATAGTAAATTTTAATAAATTAAACAATTCCGGCCAGAATTATATTTATATAAAGAAATTTAATCTTTCCATTATAAGGATAGTAAATAAATTTAGAACAATGTGATTTTAATAAGTGAATTCTTTAAAATTCGATGGCTTAAAACTACTTTAGTAAATTCATTACGACACTTTGCTTATTTTTAGATTTTTTTTTTTTTTTTTATCTACCTCACTTCATAAATTCGAAACACTTTAAATGCAGGTTCAACAGTTCTTTATTCTAATCTTGCGGCAAGTTGCATACTTCACTTTAGCGCCGAATTATGCAAAAGCCTAGATGAAAAATTAGGAAATCGATAACACCATTTCTTATTCGGTATCACCATCGGGAATTCCGAATATACAATTTACCGCATTCGATCAAACTGACTGTTGATCGTAAAATTAAAAATATTGCTCATTGTATTTCCAAATTTCATTGTTATTTTGGTGTAATTTTGTGCAACCTCTTCAAAACAATGGTGCAACATTAAAGGTTGTATTAGTTGTCATTCAGAAAACAATGCCACAATGAGGAAGAAAGGTTCCCTTTTCGCGTATTCCAAACCAAAAAGAGCAATTTTATCGAATTTTGTTGAAAAATCCCCAAATTAAGAGAACAAAGATGATAATTTTATTAGCATTAGGGTTTGTGAATTACTCGATTTTTAATATTTAACGAACCATGTCATTATTATCATTATCAATTTTTTTTTTTTTTTTTTTTTTTTTTTTTTTTTACCAATTAAACAAAAACTCTTCGGCCATTCTTCACTCATTTGGTAAAATTTACCACAGCAATTATGCTTCATTTAGAAGGTTTCTAAGTACCTACAATGGTCCCGCACCAGTTAGAACTATTCCCCGCGCGCCATTTACGCGGATAGATTAAAATTATCCAATGCATATTATTTTTAACAATATGTTATTGGCTAATGATCACATAACGAGCTTTTTTAGGGTTCTTTCATTAAGGGAAAAAAAAACGCTCGGTGACGTCTCATCAATATCTTATTGCACCGCATATCATTAGATTCATTTTTTTTTTTTTTTTATTTCGGTCAACCTACAAGCGGAAAGGAAAAATAGAAAAAAAAAAAAAAAAAAACCTTCTACAAGATATGTCATTGAACTCTCCTTCCGCCAACTCCCGTCGAGGTACCGCTTCACAAAGGCTCAATCCTCCCTCATCTTCAACAAGGTCAAATCCATTCACACAACCACCTCGACAAGCTCGGAGGAAAAGTACACCTAAAAAGCAAACTCCGTTGGAATCTCCGACGAACGGTAACAACAACTCTTCCGCCTTTCTCTTGAAATGAGCTATGATGTCTGAACTGTACCTTCTAAAGTATTATATAAATATATATGTATAATTTTTTTTTTTGTATGTTAAAGACACCTCCGGTGCTGTCGTCGCCGGCTCATGTCGTTATGACAGTTCTCTCGGTCTACTTACCAAAAAGTTTGTGAATCTACTTATGGGAGCAAAGGATGGTGACTTGGACCTAAACACAGCAGCAACCGCCTTAGAAGTTCAAAAGCGAAGAATTTACGATATTACAAACGTGTTGGAAGGAATTGGTTTAATTGAAAAAAATTCAAAGAATCATGTTCGTTGGAAGTAAGTGTGTGTGTTATATTTGTTTTTTAGTTGAGCAAAGCTCTTGTAATTTTATGGTTTTGCTTTGTACAACAGAAATGCGCATTCTCCTTGCCCATTGGTGATATAATCGCGTAAATAATTTTCACAATCATCACCAATGATAATTCTTACAGGGGTACACAACAGCAACAACCAGCTATACGCCAAGACTATAAACGGAGAATTGAAGAACTCAGGGCTGCAAATGAAAATTTGGAATCCGAACGTCAAGAATTAGAAAGGGCTGAACAAGAGGTTGACATCAGTATTAAAAATATATATGAATCCGAAGAAAGTTCAAGGTCAGTCGTGTGTAAAATTTCATCCAAAATCTCCCGTTTACCCACCCACTCAATGCGTACATTTTTTAACCATTAATAGGTTGGCGTTCGTTTATCAATCAGAAATTGAGAACCTTAATTCATATCGGGGTGGTATCCTAATCGCCGTAAAGTCCGTGTCAGGGATGACACCAAACATTCCTGAACCCATTGAGGTAAAATTTATTATTCAAACTTTTTCTTTACGAATTAAGCTTGTGTTTTTCAATTCTTTCTCTTGTACTTTAATGAATTTACAGACTCAAATTTCTTTGAGTTAATAGGACGGACAACCAAATCAACCTCGTTATCAGGTTCAAATACAACATCAAAATAATCAACCCGTTCAGATATGCAGGTTATCCGACAACCCTTTAAATCATCATTTCCCCATGACAGATAATCACTTTCAGTTTGGAAATATTCCCGCTCGTGTTTTCCCACAGCCAAGTCCACCCTTAAACGTTCATGATGGGGGTCATTTACGTTTTATAGCTCTTCCTCCACCGTTTCCGTCGACGCCAACTCCTCCCGATGAGGATTATGAAATTCTTGATAGTAGTATCGATGATAATGATGACAGGCATCATCATCATCATCTACATTATCATCATCATTCACACTTTCATAATAATCGTCGTCAGATGTTCCTTCAAGATGACATTCGAAGTAATCGTCATCATGAAATTGGGAGCAGTGATGATATGAATGAAGATTTTGATCCACTCGGTACACCTGTTAACGCGAGAGACATATTTGATGTGATGAGACACAGTGGTCGTGAAGGATTCGTTGATATTTTTGGACGAGAACCAAATCAGAGAAGTAGAGAAGGTGGCCATAGACCTTGATAAAAAGATTTTAGAATTCCTGGTTAAGAGATATATATCGAATGGTGTCAGGAACCAGACATAGACTCACAATAAATACAGTATCAATACATACTACTTACTACATTTTAGGGCTCTGACATACATTACCTAATATCATTTTTAATATAGATAATATCATTTGATATTAAACCTAAGATTATCTAAATTACATTAGCGTCCTTATAGACAAAAACATATAAAGCATCAAACGAAAGATGATGGTACCTACTTTCAACAAATATATATATTGATTGCAAAATAGAAACTAAAAAAAAAAAAAAAAATCATTAAATTTCTAGTTAGTTAGTAAACTATTTTGCTTTTGAGGGCGCACATTTTTTTTTTTTTTTTTTTTTTTAAAAAAAAAAACTCCTCTTTGTAAATTTATAACAACACAAAAATTAGACGGACATTGGGTTTTTATCCTTTTTTTTTTTTCTTTTTTCATCCTTTTTGATACGTTTTTCTTCCCCCTTTTTTTTTCGGAGGATTTATAACAAAATGAACAATTGTAAATTTGTTTTTTTCCCCGATCACCTCGATTCTTTTTTCTTTCCTTGTCAAATGATGGATTTCATGATATATTTTTTTTATGCGCATCGATTAATTTAAAAAATTAGATTAAATAAAAAAGGTAAAAAGGTGATCGGGTAATGATATATTTTTCTTTTTTTTTATGCGAATAGATAAATGTAAAATTTTTTTTTTTTAAGATAAAATAAATCCATTAAGATTAAAATAAAAAAATTAAATCAATTCAAGTTGCGATCTTAAATTTTTTTTAATTTTTTTTGTTATGAAAAGTCTCATGCAAAATAAAAAATTAGAAAAAGATCGTAAATATCATATGGTAGATTTTTTAAAATAACAAGTTGCTCCAGCTCGGGATCGAACCGAGGGCCTCGTGCGTGTGAAGCACGCGTGATAACCACTACACCACTGGAGCTTCTTAGTAGAATAATATCATTATCATGGACATAATCCTTTTTATTCTTGTATTTCAGCCCTTTGACTAAGAAATATATATCACAGTACTTGAGTTGAATAATATCGATATAAAAAAAAGTGGAATTGTAAGATGCGGTAAAATAATTTTGATTTAACAAAAAAAGGTAATGAAATCATGGCTTTTTTTTATATGTAAATCCTCACTAGGGTACTAGGTTAATAATATATGCACCAACCCTTGGAAAAATAGTAAACATACCCAGTCAATGAATAAATTTTATTTACAACCTGTAACGTTACGTATGTATATATGTTTATTCATATGAATATAGATAGGTTTCAGATTTTGTGCTATAATAAAATTTATATTGATTGTATAATAAAATCGATCATTGTTATTTATTTTCTTACCTAAACTGAACTAATTGTCGTCACACAAAAATAAAATCTATAACGATTAAATCTTCGGAATTCAGGGTTTATTTTTTTTTTTTAAAATTATGTAAATCATTATGTTAATTTATATGAACATGTCAATTATATTACAAATCCTGAGAAACATTAAAAAAAAAAAAAAAAATAATTTACTTCACCGGATACTTTTCCGAGGGTACCACCCCAGGTAAGACATGGAATTCCCTGACCCCTAAAAATATTGGATGTCGGCTCACCCTTGTCAAAAGGCACCATCTTAATAGGAAAAAAAATAGATAAACCTCATAAGTTCGTGATGTGCGTTTAAGGGTTGACGAATCTCGTTATCACCGCTCTCTCGTTCGAATCGCCGCCTCACGCCAAAGGTGAATCATTTTTTAAAAAAAATACGGACGCATATCATAACATAACAACCGGTGTGTGTATGCGTGTGTATATACTTTCTTTCTTTTGTTTTTTTGTTTTTTGTTTTTTAAAAAAAAGAGAAGATCTTTGATACGACGGGGGTTGAATGATTAATTTGCTTATTTAATTCGGGATCAAGTTTTACAAATTTTTTTTTTTTTTTTTTTTGATACACGGTAGATTCGATAAATATGACCCTATAACATCTCACTCTCGCGTATTATTAGTAGTAATAAATATGCAGGGTAATTATTATTGTTTTTGTCGCGCCAAGGTACCAAACATATTTCAAGAATTTACCTCATTTACCCGAAGATCAAAAAAAAAAAGGTCAATCGCCAGAAAAATATCCGATGATCAAGAAATGTGATATCAAGGGGTAATTAATTAATCAATCTACTACATATATACACATCCGAATATACAAAATTAATTGGTTTTATTGGATTGGATAAAAAAAAAAAAAAACTATTTTTTTTAAAGTAAAAAACAAACACACAAGAAAAATTATGTTTCATGCAAAACATTGTAACCATCATGTTCCCGCCAAAAAAAAAAAAATTCAATTTGCCATGCCGTGAGTTAATTGCTTAAAAAATTTCATTCGTAAGGGGGATCGCGTTAGGGTGGAAAATCCAAGAGTTCAATAAACAATGAGACAGACACATGAACCCTTATTATTTTTACGAAACAGGATGATACCATTTGATGAGAAATTTGATAACTACAACAACAACAATAATAAAAATAAATAATAATAGGTAAAATGTGCGCACAGGATACTGATCAAGAAGGTGTGGCTTTTTTTTTTAAAAAAAAAAATTTGTTAAATGGTAAATACACAAATAAATAAGCGATAAGAGGATTCCTTTTTTGAAAATTGGAAATAAACATAAGATAAGGGATAAGGTGTATCATATCTCGCGTTTTTTCTTCGGGGCAAAAAAATTTTTTTTTTTCCTAAACAATGAAGCCATCAGGAAGCATTTGTATAATTAACGGAACTTTGTTCATTCAAAACTGTCATTTTAATTGATTAATTCGATAATAAGAAGGTTCAGGGATATGAGTAAAATAAAAAAGGTGTGAAACGAAAGAGTACATTGGACAGATGATGCATATATAATAATAATAACAAATATTTTCTTTTTTTTAAACGTAAATTGGGAAAAATGTGATACGCAATGTTTAACGACGTTTGAAAATGTAAAAAAAAAAAAGTAAAAGGTCTCAAATTACTTTTTTTAATAGTCCAAAAGAAGTACAAATTAAATTCGGGGGGGAATCAACCTATGCAAGTTTGAACTTTTTGTCCTAGTGGATCAACATCCAATAGTAACGCAGATGCAAAATGGAAAATTAACTGTTGAAATAGCTCCGGTCCGCATTACCATGTAAGGAACTAGAGATTACTAATTTGATTGACGAAAATTTCAAAAGTAGCGAGTTAATAGAGATCGACCTTTATTTACATGTGGTAAATGGGAAAGACAACGTAGCTTATTCAAAGATGATTTTCCGACGCAAGAACCAATAAAAAACAAAAACTGAAATTAAGTACTTTTGACATACTGCATTAAGTCTATTTAACGTCGTTAACTTCCTTCTTTTTTTCCCAAACACGACCAAGATAACACAGCAAAATTAACGTTAATTTCTTTTAAAGTCATACCATCACAACGCGTTATTATGATCCCTAATCCTTCTCACCCCCCTCGATAGCTAAATCCGAGAGCGCCCGGCTCCAATGTATATCCAAATGAGAAGAACGGACGGTCATAGGTTCTAACGATTATTAAATGGTCATTATGAGATCCGCATTTGACAATATAAATAGATATGAAAAATCTCTGATAATTTCCGAAATATATACTTACGTGAGTTCCGCTATCATGTTGAGCAACAAGATACAAAAAAAAATTTTAATTTGTTTCTGTTATTATTATTATTATTATAATAAATAAATGGATTAGGGTGTGATTCATGGATTTAGGGTCAATTTGTGCTCAAGGTATTACGGGCGCACAACAACTTTTTTATCCTACCTATGATGAAATCTCTAATGGCGTGATATGAACCATGTATGATAAGTGACTTGTGATAAAAATATCGCGGAACATTTAAAAACATGTAGCGAAACGTTAAAGATCACAAAGGTCAACAAATACGAGACCTTACAACATGCAGAAAATCTTATTTGGAATAGCACTTTATGCAAACACGACAATAATTTATCGCATCTTGTTGAATTCTTTGATCATATGGATTACCTTGTGTTGTGATAAAGAAATAAAAAAAAAAAAAAGTTCGTTCATTTTTAATGGATACTTGTTCATTTCATTATTATTAATATATTAACAACAATCAAATACTTTTATTATTTAGAAAAAAAAATTTCATTCGTGTAGAATGGAACACCAGTGTCGTCTTTTTCCGTAATTATTATCATATTTGGAATGAATCAGAAATCTTAATGGGATGAATTAGGGGGTTGATCGTATAATTTTCTTGTTTAAAAATCAACCTTTATTTACAATACAAGAATGAATTAATAAATTTTGTGTAATTTTTGATTTCAAAAGAAAGGAACAGAAGTATATACTTCCTTTATAGACCTTATACAAAGGCGAAAAACTGGTTGTTTTCATTTTGGATTACCTAATCGGTCGGTTAAAATGGATCATTTGATGTTTTTCGACTTTATAAAGAGGAGAGCAAGGGTGTTTGTTTTTACTCTGCATAAGGGATGTACCGTATAAAGAAAGAATTAAAGACGAATAAGATATTTTTTTTTTTTTCTTGTTCTTTCTTTCTTTTACGCAGAAGATATATGTGTGGGGTTCGACTTTATATTATTGTTTATCGGATTATCATAGTATCCTGATTTGGTGTGTTGAATTTTTTTAAGAAATACGGCTTATAATTTTTTTTGTGCTAATGAACCTAAAAAAAAAAAGGAAGAATAAAGAAACATGTGCACTGTTTAAAATTGGTGATTTCAGGAAACCAAGATTTTTTTCTTTTTTTCTTTTTTCCTAAAACAATGCAAAAAAAAAAAAAAAAAAATTCCCCCTATATTTTTAATAAAAATAAATAGTCGATCTTTTCTTGCAAAAATTTTCAGATGATGTTACTTTATTTAAGGGATGAGATTTAATTAGTCAAAAATACAAAAATTCAGGTTATAATTTCCGAGGATTTAAGAATATTTTTTTTTAAAAAAAAAAAAAAAAAGGCGGGAAAAAATTTAGGGATATACATACATGATTAATTTAGCCGACTATTTTGTATGATCAACACAGAAACGCTGCATTTCATAAAAACTAATTTTGATGTGATTATAAATGTGATATGATGATAACCTATCATGTTTGCTTTATTATATAACATTTACAGATTTATTTGTTTAGGGTTTATTTATCTTTCGTCGCAAGCCTTTTTAAGGTATTACGAAATCTGAAAGTTAAAACCTTTTTTTTTTTTTTTTTTCTCCCTTATTGTAAAAATCTCATCAATATGGACCACCAAAAACGTACCAAACGTACCTTGCTTATTAACAATAGTAATTTTTGAGGATTCTTTTTTTAATTTTTTTAATATTGTGTGCCAATTATTTGTTTTTTTTATAACGAAAATGTCAAAAGAATAAAGGGAAAACGTGTCCTTCAAAGGGAGAATAACGGTTGGTACTGAATTTTTGAACTTTAGGTCTTTTATCATGTAGCACAACATCTTTTGGATTCTTTTTTTTTTATTTTTTATTTTTATCTTTAATTTTATTTTTAATTCCTAATCGTTTTATCACAAATAAAAAATATAAACAACATCACACCTTAATTTCTTATGTTACGACAGAAAAAAAAAAAATTTTTTTTTCATGCAAGACGCCTATGTATGCTATCTATGTATGATATCTATCTGATGTAAATACTCTCAGATTCGCCGACGAAAAAAAAAGAAATATACTGAGATGAGAAGGTAAAAAAAAAAAAAAATTGTCTCAGGTTAAACGGATTTAACGGGATTACAATTACAGGATTTGACATTATTGATTAATAATGGATAGTGGTTTTCAAGATGATTATGTCATGATCCTTTGCATCTTTCAACCGATCGAATAATGGTTTGTTCTTATGCAAAAATCGATTCATGTGATTTCTCGTATGGAGATGTTAATTTATTTTATTATATAATGATAAACTTGATGCACATTAATACTTATCGTGCACTCATGCAATTTAATGACTTGCTTTAATTTTTTGGTGATGTTGAAGCGGATAGAATTTAAAAAACAAAACATGAATGAACCCAAAAAAGGCATAACTATCAGCAAAGGAAGCAGCAAAGAACAGATAGCGGGTCGCAACAGGAATTGTTTGGAAGCACCACTCACATACATCATGGTATGGATCTTGATTATTAGCCTAAGGTCATTCACCTTAAAGTTCATCCAAAATCAAATTTATTCACGTTGTTGAACAGAAATATTTGTTGCCTTAATTATTGAACTCAAATAAGTTTTTCTTACTACGATTTTGGTGAAACCTTAACCGTGAAGAAATAAGAATTCAAATTTCAAATTGGGACCTAAAATAAGACATAATCGAAGGTCCGATACATGCTTATTTAGTTAAGGTTTTCCCGCCAATGGAGTCGGTGGTTGCAATCGAAGCCTTCTTTTGGAACTTTGAAACCAGCAATTTAGAAATGTGTGTCATTTTTTTTTATTATTATTATTTTTATTTATTTATTTATTTATTTTTATATTTTTTGATTTGAATCGATTTATTTCATCTATTAGAAAAATTTATGGACAATAATAGGTCAAAAAAAAAAAAATTATGAAAATTATGAAAATAATGAAAATTCAAATATAATAAATTAATCTAGAAAGATATTTTCCCTCACTTTTTTTTTTTTATTTTTATTATTTATTTTTTTTTTTTTTTATTATTATATTATCAATATCATTATCTTCCAAATTAAATAAAAAAATAAATAAATAAAATTTGTTAATGTACAAAAAAAAAAAAAAATAAAAAAAATAAAAAACAAAATATAAACAAAAAAAAAAAATATGTATAGAATAAAAAAAAGAGAAAGAGAAAAAAAAAAATTTTTTTTTTTTTCTTTATTAAAATATATATATATTATAGTGAAAAATTAAGATTCGTATCAAAATTATCAAATAAGGCACAATCATCATTATTTGTATCTGTAAATAAATTACAATTGGTTTCATCTGGAACAATATTTGGAATATTCGTGATATTTTGTATGGGATCAATAAATTGAGAATTATCATATGTAATCCAAGGCATATAATCTGTCGAAGTTGGTGAAGTTACAACATGTGATGATGAAGATGATGTCGGAGATTGAGAAGGTACAACGTAATCAGCCGCGTATGTCCAATCTGGCACATGCGCAGAATTTGGCGGAAAGAAGGTGTTCTCGTCCAGGGCGCAAGAAGAAGTGGTTGGGTAGGGGGACGTAACAAGATCATCAGCGATCGTTGCCGTAATGGGATGTGGTGAAATTGGCATTAGCCCATAATTGACAAGTTGATCTACGGTCTGCTTATAAACGTTGCTGAATATTATCGAAAACGCTGCTTGCTCTGGAGATAATATTCCCAGAGATGTCATAACATCATGATTATTATTATTATTATTATTTACACAATGAGCCGTGCATTGACATCTTTGTTGTGAAGGAGAGAAATTTAAATGTTCATTAAAAAATGGTTTGTCTGTGGTGGGTTCAATCCAAAGTGAAGCCGGAGCTCGTGAACGTTGCATGTTAACAGCATTTGGCGAAGTAGGGGTGTGCGGTGGAGGAGTGTGCGGTGGAGAGTGATTACTAACAGAAATGTTATCGGCGGAATTTTCTTCTTCCTGCGAAGAGGATGAAGAACTTTGCATATCGAACGCTGTAAAAGCTGATTCCATTGCGGCTTGTTTTCGATGTTGCATAGGAACTTCATCATTCATTATCTCATTTACATTATTCTTATGATTATTATTTAAATCCTTTATCATCTCTTTGGAACTGCTTTGTGACCTCGTTTTATTTTTACTATCCTTTTTTTTTGGTTTATATTTATAAAAGGGATATTTCTTTTTATGTTCCACAAGGGCCAAATCCGCCTCCCTTTGATATCTTAATTTGATCGCTTCGGGTTCTTCCTTCCACATCTCCGCCACAGTTTTTGATGGATGACGCTCGTTCGATTCAATTTTTCCAATGGATTTAAATTTCGCCAATTCCTTGGATTTATTCCTATGGTATATAATGAACGCGTTAGGTGGTCTTGGTACTTTTATGTCATAAGGTTTTGATGAATTGCAATTTGTCATTCGTCGTTTCTAATTATTTCAAAAATAAAATAAAAGAAAAATTATTTATAAATAAAAAGAGTTTGAAATTTTTTTTTTTTTCTTTATTTAAAATATAATGAAAATCACCTGGTGGTATCCTTCAGGAACCCATGAAATTTGCCCTTTGTCTTGATCGACTTGTAATAGTCGATTGTGAACATTGATTGGAGGAGGGGTGTCGTTTGATATTAAGTGGTTGTTGTTGTTGTTGGTCTTACGAATATTGAGCTGATATTTTAGTGTAAAAGGAACCTTTTGTTTTGTTTCCGATTTACTGGGTTTTGCCGTTGTGGATGATTTTGATTTGTTTACAGTGGTAATGGTGGTGGTGGTGGTGGTGATATTGGAAGCGGGCTCTGTTGGTGTAGAATTATTATTTTCATCGTCTTGATTCATTTCCCAAGAACACGAATCAATTTCCATTATGCTTTTTTTTTTTTGAATGTAAAGGAAATCGCGAATAAGATGAAATCACAGGGGGGAAGCTCAGATAAGATAAAATTTGACTGACGAGAGAGAAGGAAAAAAAAAAAAAAGAGATTCGTGTAGGATAAAAAAGAAATGTAATAATGTGTGTTTCTCTTTCAAAAAGAAATTAGCAAGTCAAAAGAAAAAAGAAAAAAGGAAAAAAAAAATTATGAAACAAATTGTTGAGATTTAATAGCGGAAATGATCGTATGCATTCATCGAAACAACCTTGATAATGTATCTAATTCTGGGTTGATTGTTTTAAAAAAAAAACAAAAAAAAGAGAATAAAATGGAGAAGTGTGAAATTAGGGGTTATCTTCCTTCTTCTTTTCCTTTTTGCCGTTATTGGTCTTTTTAAGGAGTAAAAAGACGTGAAAGAAAAAAAAAATTTTTTTTTCTCGTTTTTATCTTTTTTTTTTTTTTTTAAAGAGGGGAAAAAAAAAAAAAAAATTAAAAGAATGCAACCTTAGTTTTATAATTTTTTTTTTTCTTTAAAACCGAAAGAAAATACTTTATTTCGATTTTTAAAAATTTTAAAAATTAAGAACGATTAATTTATCGACCATTTTATATAATTTTTATTTAATACAATTGAAATATATTATTAAAGTAAAAATATATTTGTGCCAATTCCTTATTTCTTAAAAGGTCTAGTTTAATGTAATTTTTTTTTTTTTTTTTTATCACCCCTCTTTCATATCCTTACATAAAAAACCTAAAGAATGTTATCCCCAAACCCTTGATGACGATCATAAAAAAAAATGCACCCTCAAAAATTTATCCCCGAAATTGTATCATATGAACCAGTTTAGTTAGATTCGATTTTTTTTTTTTTTATTGAAAAATTCTTTCTTCGTCTCTTACACCCTTTACCCCTTCCCTTACCTTTCACATCTCAAACCTCTAAACATTTGATTATATTTGCTCCTTGCGCTTTGATGCAACCTAAAACATTTAATTATTTTTTTCTAGAAGAAAGGACGTAAATCTGGCGATAATCTCATTATTTAAATTAGAGTAGTGACGGAGCAGGTGAATCACATATAGCCCACATATGAATAGACCGTTATGGTCATTTTGTTTAGCTAATTTGTCTACAAGTTTTTTTTTTTTATTCATAATCATAGTTATCTTAGTTAACAATGGTTTTTCGGAAAATATTTTTTTTTTTTTTTTTTAATCAATCATTGCCAAATGAAATCTTTTTAGAAAGCTAAAAAAAAAAGAAGATTTTTCAATTTCTTCCAATTATGACTTTTTTACGAACACTATAGCTCTAAACATGTATAAGAATTAAAATTTTTCGAACCAATCATCAAACTCGAACCGATTTGCCGAGGTCAACCATTATTAGGTAAAGACGCAAATCTTACCAATTATTGGTACCCCTGTTGTAAGAAAACTACCGTTCAAGCAATCAGGTGGTTACACGCCTTGTCACCCCTAAACGTTTTTTTTTTTACGTCAGAAAAATTTTTTTTTAGTTTTATCAGATCGCTTTCATCTCCAAATATAGTACGTTTTGCTCATGAATTACATTAAATTAAATAAAATAAATACCTTTCATAAATAAATAAATTACAAATCAATTGAAATGAATTTTATTTCTACTCTATTTTTATTTTTATTATTTATTTGATTTGTACCTATTTGAGCAGTTTGTACATGTAAATAACTGACTGATTTCTCAGAAAACACGAAACACGATCAATGAACGTGATGACCTTTTCCAAAGATGAGTAATTCATTCAAATTCATGAAGCCTGAAAACTCCGCTAGTACAGCATATGTACGCTTATCATCACTCTTTTTTTTCTCTTGCATCCGCCGTATATAAATCAAATCTGCGTATACGGTAGGCATTTTCTTTGACCGAAAAAGAATAATTGATTAACATATCCATAGTGCAAAAAAAAAAATAAAATAAAATAAAATAAAATAAAAATAAATTTATATGGAAGTTTGAAACATAATTTAATAATACCGAAAAAATAGATGAAAAGATGATCTAATAATCACACTCTCTCACAGTGCATCTTCCTTCGATTACCATTTATATTATACATTATAAACAAGAACCAATTAACATTTTACTCATTCATTCTATAAAGAATCACAATAAATGAGATTTTATTATAAAGTGGCTGTATCTTTTATTTCTTTGTAATGAGCAAATTAAGCAACCGGAATAAACCTCCTGAAGGAAGAAGAAAGATCATAAAATGATGAACCCTTTTTTTTTTTCTCTTCGCTTATTGTTTACATGCTGTACCTTATTATTTTTTTTTTTGAAAAAAAAAGGGTTCCTTTTACGTCAACCACTAATTTTCTTGTTTAGATCGGGACAGGACGTAGATGTACAGACAGACGATAAGCTGACCTTTGTTAAATACTGACGGGCAAGAGTTTTCATTAAAATAAAAAAAAAAAACAAACAAAAAGATGTATTATTTTATGTTATATACAAAAAGAGAAGCATTTAACCAATTATGTGATTCAAGTCTTTGATAAATATACGTTATAATTAATATATACCATATAATTTGTGATCATTGAATTGATTTTTACACAATCTGACAAACCAATCAAATAAAATGCTTTTTTTTACATCTTAAACTTGTTAAAAAGTTTAATCTTTGAACCACCAATTTATCTGCAGAATCAGCTTATCACCCTAAACGCGTAATAGTAAATTCAGTAAATTTAAAGCGATCAAATTAAAGGAGTGGAGGTAAAAAGTAAGGAAAGAAAAAATGGTCAAATTAAGTATTATTGGCGCCTTCGGTTGGTACTAAAGGGGCGAAAGAATGATGCATGGAAAAAAAAAATTAATAATAATAAAAATAAAAAATCATTTCTTTTTAATTCTTGCTTTAAAATAATTCGCACACATGTAAATGTGATAATTATGAAAAGAGGAAAGGTGCGTCATTGTTATACATGAATTAAAGTTAAATTTCCGATTAGAAATTGAAAAAATTTTATACTTAAACTTGCATTTATATTTTACCCCATTTAAATTCCTTAAAGAACATTTTGGGTAATAAATAAATAAATAAAGCAATTTTTAGGGTTAAAAAGGCTTCACTTAAAAATAAGCACGTTGTGTATTTTTCGAATTTTAAGCTTAAATCTGAAACCATATAATTGGAAATTTGTTTAAGAAAATAGACTAGTAACCCTTGTACAATAATAAATAATAAAGAATCTATAAATGGTACGACCCGGCTTAATTAACAAATTACCTTTTATGATTCTAATAATTTCTCTAGTAAAGAAAACTTGGAAACTCTAGATGACGAGAAATCCTAGACCTTGAAATTAGAATACATTAGTATTCTTTTTTTTTTATAATAAAAGGACAATACATCATCATACTCACCTGGAATTAACATAAATGCATGATTTCCTCCTCGGAAAATTTGATTTCTCCGTTAAATGTGTGAAGACTTTTTCCCTACATTATGCATCTAGTAAGATTATTGGTGACGCGTATGTGATTTGAGATTGCTAAACGCGTTTTTTTTTTTGATTTGCATCGGCAAATCATGTAATGCGGTGGCGCAGTTAGTCCCGAAATTCAATAAAATCAATCAAATCCTTAACATCATCACTCTCTAGTATTCTGCTATATAATTATTGCAGAAAAATATATATATATATATAAAGAAGTCTTATTTTCAACGGATTCAACCCTTGTTTTATTATAAATTGAATGAAATATCTAATCGACATATATGAGAATTAATATGATGCAATTCTTGTCGTATAAAAAGAACCTTCCGCTTTTACTTCTATATTTGGCAAAGAACATTTACATAACTCTCGTTCGCGTGCTACAACAGTTGGCATTGACAAAAACCTTTAGCCAAGCGGGATTTCTCAACTTGCGCCTAGCTTTTTATGTATGGCCTCATGAATTCTGAACGTTTGAACTGGTACGCTAGTGTCCTTTGGTTCACACTTTTCGTGTTGAAAAAATTTCTATATTGGGTGAACGATGATTGCTGCATACATAAAAGAACCTTCTCGGCATTCTTTGTCGTTCTCTCATAAGGCGGTAAATTTTTTTTTTATTTCATTAGCCCGAGGATACCGTTCCTAAATTGGTCTCTCCCGCTTATTAAATTCGTTCTTTTATTTATTCTCCCCTTTATTTTTCCGTAATTCTATAGGCAATTTGAAAGAACTTTTATTGATACAGCATAACTCTTGTAATATATTACAAAAAGTAAAGCAAAAGGGAATTCAATGACAAGAGTCATTGTTAGAACTCGGGCTACTTTTCTTGTGTGCTTTTAAAAGGTAGTACATCATTTTCGATCGGTGACCATTATTTATGATCATTCCACACTAGGTTAGCATTATTTACGGGTTAACAACTTTAGGAAAGTATTACAAATATTTAGATTGACGAAGCAAGTAATATACTGTATTTAGTGAACATTCGATTTCGATTTCCGGATTTTCTTTTCCTTTTTAAATGCTAGTCGCATGAATAGAACGGCC